CGGCCCTGCTGGAAGCGCCTGCAGCACTTCAACAGATTCTCTCATTTTCTGGTATTTATCCCTTCGCTACCCGTCTGGAACAGGAGAATAGTCCTTATCGCACAGAAGACTCCTCGCACCGTGTTTCTCCTTCGAGAACTGGCATGACGGGAACATGGCTAATAATTCTTCCCATTTCCTTACATTTGCTGGGATGTTTTCCTCAGTTAAAGGAAGGGGTGAAATTCTCCGCGCGCTGTTCCTCCACGCTCAGCTCGGCTTAGCCACGGTCCCTTACAGCAGCCTTTGATGAGTCTGGCTGGAGAAAGATCAAACCAGCACGAAGGCGCACGTTCTGCACCCAGCTATGCTAAACCCAAATACCATTTATTAAATGGTATATTATTCTTTATTGAATATAAAGAAACAAGCAGAATCTGACCCTTACTGACATGACAACATGTTGCACTTAAGACATCATTGATTTCCTTGCTCAGGTGGGCGACACCGATAGCTTCAGAAACATCCCGTTCTCCCCACTGAAATCAGATCGATGAGCTCTCCTCCAGGGAAGCTGGATGACGTTTCAGGATTTATTCAAATTAACCCTTACTAATTAAATGACACACCTTCCTGCTTTCTCCACAGGTTTTGGCCCCTCAGGTTGCAGCAGGAAGCTGGCGTGTGTCAGAACGCACAGCGGCTACGGGGACCGCGAGGTTACATTTTCTTGAATTGACCCCTCACTAAAGATATTCTCACGATGGCAAAATCAGACGTTTATGGGCACCCGTCTTTGCTCTCCCCTGTTTGTGCACTTCAGTCCTATTACCGCAGCCCGATGCTAGCGGCTTTTAAGCGTATACATTAAGACAGCTCTTGGTGAGCAGAGCACTTAGCGTGTGCTTCAGTTTCGCACCGATATGGATCCTGCCGGCGTCCAAGGAGTGGCAACATGTGCCCGTGCACTTTGCTGATTAGGAACAGAGAACCAAACCTCAGGTCTGGAGATTTGTCTACATGCACTTTTACAGCTGCTTGATTGCAATTAGGCCTGGTTAGGGCAATACGGGCTTTGTTCCAGAACAATCAATTTAAGCAAAAATCAAATAAGCCTGGCCCAAACTGACGCAGTGGCTCATACAGCCCTTTGAACGGGTGTTAACTACACCAACCGACGTTTACACAGCTGCAAGTCCGAGTGTGCACAAGTCAAACACCTTTTCTGCATTTAGAAAGATGAATTCACGCTGCCCTAGCATTAAAGATTAAAAGCAGCTGCATCTCTTCGCAGCCAAAAGATTTATCGGGCACTGATGTCAAAAATGATGGCTTATCGGGGAATAACCTTGAATGCTGGCACTGCGTATTTTCGAGGCATATTAATCACAGTTTGTGTGTGAATAATTCTGCTTTCACTGGAAAGGGAGAGCGAGGTGAGGTTTAGGGACTTCTGAGGTGCTTTGATTAAAAATGCCGGGCCAAGGCTGGCGAGCGCTGCACTACAAATCACTCGGAGCTCGAGAACAGCCGGTTAGAGCCAATGTGTTCCTTAAATGGAGCCCCTGGGATAGGAGCCTGGCAAGCGGGGCTAGTCTTTTGATTGAAATGCTGATTCCCTCTGTTGCAAATGAGGGGAAAAACAGAAAAGAAAAAAAAAAGGCATCTTTCTTGTCTCACAAAGTTTATCAGAAGAGAGGGAATTGGCCAGAGTCTCAGAAAAGATGAACTGGCATGAAAACAAGCCAAAAAGGGAAGAGGGGAGGAGGCTTGCGTGAGGACACCTGCTCTGATCTACTGCGGAGGTTGCTGCCAGGCCGCTGGACGGGAGCGCCGGGAGCATCTGCTTGCAGCATGGCCGGCTGCGAGCCCTGCTGCTCAGAGGCCGGGGCGATGGGCACCCTCACGCCACATGTCTGATATCATCCTTTCTAAAACGCAGGTCTCGACTGCTGCACATCAAAGGCCATCCCGAGTGACTTTTTCCTTCTCTTTAAACAGTTGTCTCCAGGGAACTGCTTCACAATTAAAGAGACGCATGCCCCAAGGCAATCACCACCGCCATCACCTGCCACGGAGGTCACCAAAGTGCAAAACTGATATCAGATATACAAAACCTCTCATAAGGCTAAAGCAAAGAGGCAGCCTCTCCCTTTCCATAAGCTACTGTAGCCATGGGAACAGTTTGCAATTTGGGAATAGTCTGCAATCTGAAATCCTCACAACGGCGATAGATAGAAACCCTGTGGTGCACTCAGGAGAGGGCGGCTGAGTAACGCACACCAGCAAGCGCCCGGGAACGGTGACAGCAGCCG